TTTTCGAACCAGAATGATAGGACTCGCGAGGAGAACGTAATGATGACTCTAAAAGTTTGGCTCAGATGCCGAGTAAAACGGTGGCGTCACAGAAAAAAGAGAAAAATTGGGATAAGATCTTGATTGGGATCCAGGTTGGGTGCAGGTGGAAGGTGACAAGTAGTATAGTTTTGTTGAGAGTCTAACAGTCAAAACTTCCAAGTGCAAAACAAACACACAGCTAGCTGGAGATCCATGACTTGGGATGAGAAATTCGAACTAGACATAAGGATTTGAAAGATAGAGAAGAGATTGGCTAAAAAGAGAATTGATGAGCTAGCTGATAGAGAAAGAAATACAAGAAGGTAGGGGAAGGTGGGGGTAAGAGAGAGATAACCAAAGGACTTGTATGCATGCATATAAGCCTAACCAATGGACACAGACACCAGGGGGGTGAGGACATGCGTGGGGGGTGGGGGCAATGGGGGGATAAGGACACATATGTAATATCTTAATCAATAAAGAAAATTAAAAAAAAATACAAGAAAGAGTCAATGAAAAAAATGACATAGAGAAAAGCCAAGGGGACAGGTTCAGTGACTCACTGGGAGGTTGAAGAAGAGAGAAAGGGAGGAAGGGGAGAGAAAGGAAAGGAAGGGAATAAAAGGAGTTAGTTTGTTACATATTCCAATATTGTAGGACCCTTAGAGCACCTGCAGCCAAGAAGAATGTGTTTTAAGATCAGTTCTTCATTTCCATCCCATTATATATTAAACTTCAGTGAATGACATTTATACAATAAAATTTTTGATTATATCTACTTATCTGATCAAGAAGTTAGGAAAATAACTTAAGGACACATTCATTTTCTGGAATAAGACAAAATTTTCAAAGGTCTGAGATCAATCTGAGGCCTTCAGATATCTTTGTGATGTTGCAAAGCTAGTTAGAATGAACAAAATCTTTTGCAGGTCTTGGAAGCCATGCTTGCTCTTACTAGTACAAGCTTTCCTGTGTTGGAGAGATGAAATCTAGCACCAAATTAGAACAGGGAAAGTGACTTCAAACTGGCTGTGGTTTAAGACAGTGATGCAGACACTTTACCTTCATGATGGGGACTCTTTCCTGTCCTGGTCTGAACTCTGCTCGGTTACACAGTGCAATTATCTTTGATAATGAGGCCCAGGTTCCAGAGCTTTGATCAAAGGTTTGCTCTGGAAAACAGAAAGCACAGGGGATGCTGTGGGTGCTGGGCTCCCTCTCCACAAACCATACTGTTCACAAAATTTTGAGACTGCACACCAACTCTGCCACACTGGCTGTGCCCCTCTTCTCAAGTCCACAGCTTTGGGCCAAACTGAATGCTCCAGAAGACTTACTCAACTGGTCTTCACTGGTGTCAGCCATAAAGATCTGATTGTCAAACCACAGATGGGCCACGGTCATCCTGTTCTGGGTCAGAGTCCCCGTCTTGTCTGAGCAAATGATGGAGGTGGAACCTAGTGTCTCCACTGCCTCCAGGTTCTTCACCAGGCAGTTCTTCTTAGCCATCCGTTTTGCTGTCAGTGACAGAGTCACCTGACAGAAGAGAGAAGAGAAAAATTCATTTGAATGCAGGTACAATAACATAAAAGTAGCTAAGGCTGGACTAGTTTCAGGCAGTACCTGATAAATCCTATATGTCACGATCCTTTTTTAAAATTAAATATGGGATATTTCTTTTGTCCTTTTACACCTTAAAGAAATCCTGAGGAATTCACAGGTGACAAAACCAAGCAAGGTTGTTATGGCCCATACTCATGTGTAATTACAGAGGGTGCTTTGGTCACCCAGCTCCTGTCGGACAAAACAGTGAACGCATAAGGTTTGTGCCAAAGAGCTTGTCCCAAAGGCTTGCTTGTTGCTTTGATGAGTCAAGAAGTGTTTGTATTTCATTTTAAGAGGTCCAGATTTTAAAGGTTCTTAGCTCTCTCTTTTAAGCCCCGAGATCTCAAAGGGTTCTTTGGGCTCAATTTCTTCAAATTACTACCTGCTGGAGTCAGAAGGGACATGGAGTTCAGAAACTTCTGTCTATCTTTGCTGAGGACAACAGCAGGCCAATGATCTGAGGCCACCTTTACATGTTAACTGGAACCACGAGACACCCCCACCCCCACCCCACAGGGCCTCCATAACAGAGACTTGAGGGGGGGGGGGTTGTTTAAGGATTAATTGGATGGGTCCTACCAAGGGAGACCCAAAGCTGAATTTGGGGGAAGGTCCAGGAAAGGGCTGTATTTCTCTGCAGAAAAAAGAGAAGGAGTTTGTGTGTCTGTGTGTGTCTAAGGGAAGAGAATTTAGGTAAACAAAGTGCCTAAGTTCCTCAGCTGTAGAAACTGCCAAGGAAATTGTGGAAATGTGAGAAAGACATCTGGCTGCTCAAAAATCTGTGAATGATGGTTCAAGCCTTATCTAGATCTTAAGGAGCAAAGTTACATATGTGATTCGCAGATAGATCTCCTAAATGAAAATGCAAAGTTTTCAAGGACAGTGCATTCAAATATGAACAACCTCATAATTCCTCTGTCCCTCTAAGAATCATTCCATTCAGAATGTCTCCTGTTGTCTCTGACCGGGAGGGAGTATTGCTCTGAGCTGGAGGAGTTGGAGCTCCCCCAGCATAACAGGGTGGCATGTATTAACAGGGTCAGGGGACAGGCCACCTAGCAGCATGGACTCACAGTGACAGTGGCCAGGAGCCCTCAGGTACATTGGCCACAATGATGCCAATGAGAAAGATGATGGAGTCCAGGACACGGTACTTCATGGACACCGCAATGATGAAGAAAAGGACGCCGATGGAGACGGCCACTCCTGCCACAATGTGAACGAAGGGTTGGATCTCGATGGCGATGGGTGTCTTCTCATTCCCAACTCCGGAAGCCAGTGAGGCGATCTGACCAATGATGGTGCGGTCACCCGTGTTGATGACCATGCCAGTTGCTGTGCCTACAGGTGAAGTGGATATTTTATTTCATGAGTCCTCAGCTGGGGGAGGACCACAGACTCCTCATCTGGTGGCTTACGTGATCAATGAACACATGACATTACAAAGGCCAACATCAGTTCTCTAGGCCCTGCGATTCTAGGTTTTCTCTTGGACAAGCTTTGTACAAGAGATGAAAAGAGATACAAACATAGAGCCCAAAGGGACCCAGTGGTGTGGGCGGTCCTGAGAGTTGGCAAGACTTACCTTCCAGACAGGTTGTCGAATAGAAGCCAATGTTTTTTGTCTCCAGGGGGTCATCATGGGTGAACTCACAGGAGCGGGACTGGGGCTCAGACTCCCCAGTGAGAGATGAGTTGTCAACCTAGAAGAAATTGTGAAGAAGTTCAAGATGAGCCCTGACCTGTGTTTCTCAGTGGTTAGAGCATCAGCCCATGCACCAAAGGATCATGGGCTCGATTCCAGTCAAGGGCACTTACCTGGTTGGGGCATGTGTGGGAGGCAACCAATCGATGTGTCTCTCTCACATTGATCTTTCTCTCTTTCTCTCCCTCCCTTACTCTTTCTGAGAATCAATGGAAAAAATATCCTCAGGTGAGGTTTAACACACACACAAAAAGAAAACAACAAAATATTCAAGATGAGGCACTGTGTCCCCTGCTCCAGTTACGCCAAGAACTGGAAGGGCCACAGAATGCCAGCCAGTTAGCAGCCTGATCCTTGGGCACCTGTGACACTTTACCTTGCATCCCTGGGTAAACAGCAGCCTGATGTCTGCAGGGATCTGGTCTCCTCCTTTAATCTCCACTATGTCTCCCACCACCAGCTGCTCTGCAGGAATTATCTTCTTTTCTGAATCTCGAATGACAAGCGCTTGCTACAAAAGAAAATGTGGTAGATGCCTTAGATCAGGGAATGATGCTGATGCTTCTCCATCCACCACTTACCAAAACTCAGACATCAAAACTCAAAATGGCAAAAGATGAAACAAAAGACTTTGTCTTGGGCCTGAAGACCCTAAGAACTATTTTTTTTCCTGAGGAGGAGCTCCTAGAGATATTCTTGGACACAGAAAATGTATTGTGGGCAGATATAGCAAAGGGACAGCCCTGGGTCTGACTGAAAGGAATGAGTACTCCTGGCTTCGATGTCAGGGAAGAATCCTAAAGGTTGAATCAAAGGGCTTAATAATCTTGCTCAGCTCAGGAAACCTTTAATGCTGGAGGAAGTGGATCTCCTCCACCATTAGCACAAAAGATCCCCAGAGTCCCCTCTAGCTGGCAGCTCTGGGGCCCAAGGACAATGTGGTTTTCCTACTGTGCTGACAGTGGTGCACAGTCTCCCCAAAGGACACCTACCAGGGGCCCTTGTAGGGACAGAGGAGCGTGGATGCCCCACATTGAGTGCATTCTGGGGCAACATGCAGTGAAACTCAGCAGTGGCAGCCAAGATGGTCACAAATAAAAACTCATGGGTTGATGTCCTTGGCTACCAGACCACCTGAATGACTTTTGTCTCAACAGTTCGCCAACACTTCCAAGCAATAATAGAAGATACTGCGCAATGACTAATGTTTCCATCCTACTATACTCTTGACTAAGCATTTTCCTGTCTCTTACCTAACTGATTATCTCAGTGAGAAAGTGGGGGTTCATAGAGATTAGGTCACTTGCCCAAGACTTCTCAGACAGAAAAGGATGAGCCTGAGCCTGACCACGGACCCTGTGCCTCCAAGGCCTCATTCTCCTCACCTGAAGTCATGTGGAAATGGAAGAGGGACAGCTGCTACTCACCTGTGGAATCATCTTACTGAAGCTGGCCATGATGTTGGTGCTCTTGGCTTCTTGGTAGTAAGCAAAGATTCCTGTTAATATGACAACCAGGGCGAGCACGGCACCCAAGTACACCTGGGTCAGGAGGAGAGGCATTGGTCAGAAAAACCAGCCACAGAGTGAGCCAGTTTCTAGGGTTAGAGCTCTTCATGGGAAGGCCAGAGAGATGGCAGTTGTGTCCTGGTGTAATTTACAGGCCACAAAACACATCCATTTTAAGTCTATAATTCAATGATTTTAAAAACATTTACACAGTTGCTTATTGAAGTTGCAACAATTGCCACAATCCAGTTATAGAGCATTTCTGTACTCCCAATAAGACCTCTTGTGCCCAATGGCAGTCTCCCTGCCCCCGCCCCTAGCCCTAGCGGTCACTGATCTGCTTTGTCTTCAGGATGTGCCTGTTCTGGGCATTTTATACCAATGGAATCATATGGTATGTGGCCCTTTGCATCTGGCTTCTTTCTCTCAGCCTCACATTGGCCAGTGTGGTTTTGTTGCTTAGTTGTTAGCACACACACATGTTCTCTATGTTAAAAGGAATGAATTAACCCAGCCAGTGTGGCTCAGTGGTTGAGCATCGACCTATGAACCACATGCCAGAGTTGCCAGCAGGGAGCATGCAGGAGGCAGCCGATCATGTTTTTCTCTCTCATCATTGATGTTTCTATCTCTCTCTCCCTCTCCCTTCCTCTCTGAAACCAATAAAATATATTTTTAAAACATTTTTAAGGGAGAGAATTAGCTTTTAGGAGAGAGAATCCACAAATACTTCATATATATATATATATTTCACTTAGGAACTTACAATGTTTCTCTCTCTTTTTAAAATTATGCTCATACTGCATCTGAAACATCAGGTAGTCAGATGTAATTTCTGTTTAACAGCTGGGAAAATGATTGATTTTGCCAACCCCATGCAGTGATTGGTCAGCGGAGACTCCTGATTCCACCCAGGGCTCTGCCCCTGAAAGGCCTCACTTTATTAATCTGTTCTCCCCTGTTACTAATTCAGTAAAACCAGGCAGGAGACCCCAGTGCCTTACATTGTCTAGGGATGATGATTTATCATTAGAGTACTGAATTCCATATGCAATCCAGCACAGAATGGCTCCCGCCCACAGAAGGATGGAGAAGCCTCCCACCATCTGCTTCAGGAACTTGATAATCTCCGGAGTTTCCTTGGGAGGGGAGAGGGCGTTGGGCCCATCTCGAGCCAGGAGCTCAGCAGCTTGGGTGCTGGAGAGACCCTGAGAAAGTTGAACAAAAATAAATAGAATTATGAAGTTCAAATTGGCAGTTGCAAAATAGTCACAGGGAGGTATAGTATAACATAGAGACTATAGTTAATAATTTTGTAATAACTATGTATTGTGCCAGGTGGGTACTAGACTTATTGGGGGAAATCACGTTGTAAGTTATTTAAATGTCTAGTCACTATGCTGTACACCTGAAACTATTATAATATTGAATATCAACTGTATTTGAAAAAAATTAAAATGAAAACAATAAAAACAAACAAAGAAACAAAAAACCCCAAACAGAATTAGACATTTCTCCTGCCTTGGGTTGGATATTATACTTCAGCAGGTTGTGGAGAGGGGTTACCATGCTCAGAGAAGGCCTGGGAAAAGTGGGTGACACCTCACCTCCACCCCCACCTTGTCTTCTCTCAGAATTGCCTTTTGAAAAAAAATCTTACCAAGTTGTTTTCTTGTTTTAAAAGAAATGCTTAATGTCAGCCAGGCAGTATTTTCCATATATTTACCCATTTTATTTTTCAAAATAACCCTCTGAAGAAGGGACTATTATTATCCTCATCTTATAGATGTGGAATTTGAGGCAAATGATGGTTAAGTCATCAGGATTCGACCAGCATCTGGACCCAGAGCAGCTATATTCTGTCTGCTAAGGAGGTTCTGTTTCTTAGAGATTTACCCAGAGATAGCAGCAATCTGATTTGAAATATAGAAGCTAGTCATCAAGGTTAAGGGCAATGCAGTAACATCCAGAAAATACTCTCTCTTCTGGAACTGCGATATAGTACATGGCTAATTTTTCATGCTTAAGTCTGGTGCTTTTCTGCTTTTCTAGATATTGGCCCTGAGTACTAAGTTCTTGTTCATCTTTAGAGTTACAAGTCCTACCAGCCTGAGGCCCACATGGCCAGTCACTTCTAGCCAGAAGCCCTCCACCCACAGGTGCACAGAGACTTGAAATCCTGAACTATCATCTGTAGGGTTCCCCCCCAAACTACCTTTTATAGAGAAAGTCTTTTACATACCTTCTCTCCGTAATTATGTTGTAAGCCAGTTAAAGGTAAGGACCCTATCCGTGTTCATTTGTGTGTCCTTTATAGGATCTACTGCTTTTTCTGCAGCAGAGGCTCAAACAGTTGTTAAATACCTGGATTTGTAATCAGCAACTGGATACCATCACCCCCCATTTGCAATGCCTTTTCCAGAACCTCAGACTCACTATCACCCCTTCCTCCCACTGCCTTCTCTAATCTCTCACCCCCACCCCTGGGGTCCAGCCCACAACCTGACCCCCTGCTCACATCTCCTTTTCCTGCTGGATTAAGGATTTGTTTTAAAAAACCTCAGTGTCTCTTCTGCACCCTTCCCCCTCCCATCTTACTGCTGCTGCATAGTTCACATGCTCTTCTCATAGTCCTGCATTCTTCTAGACCCTCCCATCTCCCACTTAAAAATGAAATGTGTGAAAAAAGAAAAAAATCTATATCTATAAAAGCCTAAGCGACCAGCTGACCAGCCGGCCAGCTGGTAGCTATGATGTGCAATGACCACCAGGGGGCAGACACTCAATGCAGGAGCTGCTGAGCAACAGCAACTTTGCAGAGTGCCCTCTCGCACTCCAGGACCCCTCAGGGGGATGTCGGACTGCAGGTTTTGGCCCAATCCCCGCAGGCCAGGCCGAGGGACCCCCACCTGCCAGAGGGACCCCGCTCACTCTGCTGATGCCCTTTGAGCCCCGGCACCGCCCCAAGTGCAGCTGGCCAGGGAGGGACTGTGGGAGGTTGGCTACAGGGCGTGTCTGGCCCATCTCACACAGTCCCGCCCTGCCGGCCACTTTCTAATTAATTTCCTTTCAATGTGCACAAATCTGTGCACTGGGCCTCTAGTATATATATATTTGTCTTCTCCCAGAATTGCCTTTTGAAAACCAATCTTACCAAGTTGTTTCCTTGTTTAGAAATTATACTCTTTATGAACTAATATTGTCTTTATTCCTTAGTTTAATATGAAACTGCTGGACAGTTTCACTAAAATTATCTCTTTCCCACCTGAGTTTCTACCTTACCTCCCTGCCATCAATTCCAGGCACCCTGTCCTTCCTGCTCCCTGGGTACTCTGGCAACTTAAATCCAAGCCATCATCCTACGTCCTAATTCAAACACTTCCACTGGTCAGAATTAAAAACATCTCTCAGCCTGTGGTATAGATCTCTTGGTTGCCCTCTAAGTGGAACAGAGTGGATGCTATGATACTTTTCTACACGTCTGGCTTCCTCTCTGAGCTGCTAACTCCTTATGATAGGGGTGTCTGTTCCTCTCTGCTCCTCTCACTGCTGACCCAGTGCATCACACACAGTGGGTATTTTTGTTGACTTAAACAGATGCAGCCAAATATCCTGATGTCAAGCCACCAAAGCTTTTGAAATATGAGTTGAATGTGAATTCATAGAAGGAAGCAGTGCCTCTGTGATGGGAGAGTTGGGAGCCACCAGGGACCACTCAGTCCTTCTCAGAAGAGGAGGAGGACAAACAGGGTCTAAGGCTGTCACCCCAGACCTTGGCTTCTTAACACTGGGTCTCCCCATTCTTTGATAAGGCCATCATACTTCCTGTACACCAGGATTAAAAATAACTGACCATGACAATGAGCAAGCATCTGAACCTTTGGGGGGAGACCGTAGCTTTCTGTAGTCACAGTCAAAAGAACTATAGAGTCAGCATACAGCTCAGCCAAGGAGCTTGACCAGGGCCTTGGTTCAGAACGCTAGCTCCTGATGTCAGCCCCCTTCTGTCCACTCACCAGGGCATCTCAACATTAGTGCCATAAGTCACTCATCCTAATGGTGCCCTCAACTTTCCACACACCCTTTTTCTTTACAGTGACAGGGCTGCTTCTCCTGATTTGAGTTCCCTCATGACTTACCGTAACAATATTTGTATGATATTTAGTTTCCAATTCCTTATTGCTGAGCTTGTGGTCATCCTGAAGTCCATGAAAAGAAGAACAGAGTGAATTAGGTAATTCCAAAAAACTCAAGCTGGAAACTCTGACAAGCCCCATGGGAGCTGGGAGAGGGGCCAGAAAGTGTGGGAGTAAGAGACAGAGCCCTGGGTACCAGGTGGCCATTGCAGAGAGGGACGGGAGGGTCCTGCTGCAGGAGAGGCTTGACTCGATTCAGGAGACTTTCTGGCCACCCCGGGAAGAGTTCAGACTTAACTTGCTATTTACCACATTGTTTTTTATGAACAAAGCAATGCATTGCACCTCAGTCTAAGTTCCAGCACATGCAAGTCTGAACCTACCTGGTGTCCAGGTGCTAACTCAGACATGAATGTGGGACCAATGGAAGGTGACCAGCAACACCAAGCAGCCCCATTTCACATGCCCTGACAACTTGGGACCCATGCAGCCCTTGCTGGGAGGTAGTCTTTGGGAGGGGGAAGCATGACTGTCCTTATTCAGGTACTTGAGACTCAGGTAGGTCACTGATTACAGAAACCCCGCACTTTAAAAACCTGTCATGTAATGCCATTATGGTCCAGACTCACTAATTTTGGCCCAGGATCATTAGACTCAAGCAGCATTTCTCAACCTGGGCATCATTGACATTGAGGGCCAATAACTCTGTTTTAAAGACTTCTACCCACCAGCAGCTTCCCTCAGACACAGGACAGAGTCTTTACACCCTGACTGTCCAGAACAAAGATTTATACTTGTGATTGGGACTAGAGCCACCTCTTCTCTTAAGTACATGCAAAAAGCGTCATGTTAAAAGATTAAGACTTTACAATTTTTTTTCATTTCCTCATCCAGAATTTGCTTTGCTCATTCTTTCATGTCAATTGAAGATGACATTGCCAAGGGTTAAAAGGGTTAAGATACAGTTCTATGCACTGTGTGCACTGTGTACTCTGGGCAGGTACAAGGAACAGGGAATGGATGAGTAGAGCCACTGTGTGCATAGATGGACCTGGTTTTTAACAGGCTGCACTGGGAGGCAGAGCACCTGTCCTCCTCCTCCCTTTAGCCTTGGTTCTGGGGATGAGAATGCAGAAAGGCTGGGGGCTAGGGCCCCTCTGCTGGCCAGAACTGGAATAGCACAGGGCAGCACCCTGGTCTGGGTTTGGGTTTATTCAAAAGCCAAGAGTGCTTTGGCTCTCATCAAGGTTCTGATTTGCTGGACAGGTCAGGGTGCAAGAGCATCCAGGCACATTGCCCAAATTACAGGATTCTTGGGAAGCAGAAGAACACTGGCTAATCCCATGGAAATTATTTTTCAGTATTACACATCTTCACAAACTGCTCAAGAAGAGAGATTCTCATCCTAATAAACAGGCAAATGACAGAATGGATATATTTTCATGTTATACATAGCAATTTCAAGGAAGACTAGATAAGTTTTCAATCCTGAATTCTAGAGAAACATAGGCAAATAGAATGACTGTCTATTATCTGGTGCTGTTCTCAGTCTTCCTCCTGCTGTATTTCATTGAACTCTCTTAACAAGCTTATGGGGTAGGCACCATTTTTCATTTTCATTTTTTTTCAAAATAGGAAACTGAGTTTCAGTCAGAGTGGGATTTGAGTTTAGGTCAGTACAATTTCAGGGCTGTGTTCTTAAATGTCTATCAGGATATATACAGACAAATGCCTAGTATGCTGCTCAAAGTTTCACAAACTCTCCAGGAGAAACAGAAAGCCCTGATGTATAGTATCTGATCATTTCTCATCACAGCCAAATTTCAAGCTTCTAATGCAATGTCGATATGTTGGTCAGCTTGTCAAATTCCTAAATATTTAACCACTGGCTCTCTAGCCCCCAGGAACTTATAGCACTACTGTCTGTTCAATCATAGAACTTTAGAGTCTGCAATGAACTTGAGTGTAGAAGCTTCTCCTTTGATGGTCCTGAGACGAATGTCATATTTCAGATCTGAGGCTGTCCTTTTCCACGGTGGCCAAAGTCCTTCTTCAATTGTAATAATATTGAGCTTCAATAAAGCACTTTAATTATAAAATACTCTTATTCTTTTCTCTCTTTCCCCCATCACAGACCCATGCAAATTCAGTGAAGCCGGTTACACGTAGAACTTCAATGGGGTGTAAAGTCATCTGACTCCAAGCCCAACAGTCTTATCACCTTCTCATGGAGCATATATGCCCCCAAACCTAGTAAATATCAAATGGTTTCACTTTATCAGCTAGAAACTGGCAAATGGTAACTTATATTTCACTGAAAGGAGAGCAGTGTGGGCCAAGCCTGTGGGGACAGGAATCCCAGAGGCTTCCCTGTCCCACCTGGGAATGCCGACAATCAGAATGCAGGTACTCTGCAGAGGCTTGGCCCCTGGGCAGATATTATCCTACCTTTCTCTTTCTACTAAAAAAATTAAATAAATAAATAAATAAATCTTACGAGGAAATTCAAACCCTTCAGAATGCTTTTTCTTTTGGAAAAGGAAGGGTACAGAGACAAGGTCCCGATACGCTTCCTAGGGGGAAGGGCAGCACTCAGGGGCCCCTTTGCCTTCAGGGCCCAATCCACTGACCAGATCAATTTCTTTTGTCAGATGCTCTTTGCGCTGATTCTTTCCGAGTTCCAAGCAGTTATCCTGCAGGCCCCTGTACTTATCCTTGCCATCCCCCTTGTCTGTTTGCTTCATGTCTTTGGCTCCATTGAGCTCCACAGAGTAAATGCGGGGTGTTTTCTGAAGGAGAAGCAGAGGTGCAGTATTAGCCCCAAGTGGATTTTCTGACTTCCCCTGGGGGTCGGGGACCACCATCCCCACTGTCATCTCCTCCCCTGGGGAGAGGAAGGAGCAGGATTGTAGGGAGGTTCCCCCACCTTCAAACAGCAGCTCCCTGGCCCTCTCTTCTCTCTCCTCCTGTGTGGAGGGCAGGCTGGGGTAACCCCTCCTGGGTGGAGGGGAAGGTGGGATGTGATTTCCCACCCAGAAAGAACACCTCTCTAAGGAGCCATGGGGTCTTCTGGGACCTTGTTCCCCATTTCTTGGGTAGAGGGTGCTCATCGTCCCACCATTTATTGGGTGGAGGGCGCCCACTGCTCCCTGTTTCTTGTGTTGGCGGGACATGCTGGGGTACTGCCCAATGAGCTCCTGAACCTCAGCCCCAGGCAGGGCGCGCCTTACGCACTGCGCTACGGTGCATTGTATAAGCCCAGCCAAGTGCTACCCTTGGGATAGGGGCTGCCCTCGAACGCCGGCCCCTCCCGGAGTCCGCTGGGGGCTCCAGCTTCGACTGAGGGCTTGGGGCAGGGCGGGGAGAGGAGCGGCGCGGAGGCCAAAGAGCGAGAGGTGCTGGTGGCCTCCATATCCCCGCACCTCTCGACCGACCGGCCCGGGGTCGGGTTGCACGCACCTGGCCCATGACGCGGTGGAATCCCGGTCGCGGCTGGCGCGGGTGGGAGGGCGGAGAGGGTCTGGTCCGGCGGCGGCGGTGGCGGCAGAGGTGCAGCCGCTGGCTGGGGAGGTGGCGGCGCCTTAAATGCCGCTCGCCCCGCCCTTTCTGGTTTCGGGAACCCACGTCTGCCGCCGCCTGAAAGTGCGACTGCGACTTGCTTACCAGTGAAGGAACTGATACAGTTACACCATCAGCACAGCTGGCGACAACTGTGCTCTAAGGGGCCTTTAGAAACGGAAGGCTGCTCTCGGGTCTTACGCACAGGTGCGTCTCCGAGGGGATTTGGGGACAACCAAGAGCCTCTGGGGAGCAGCTGAATTACTTTGCAGGATCCAGATAGGAATTTGGAGTTGGAAACCATTTGGGTGAGAGGGAGAGAGTGGAGAGGAGACGTGAGGGAGCGCCAGCCTGAGGGGCTGTCGGTTCTGAGGACTCGGACTAGGTTGCTGGGGCCAGAACTGAAGGTGTAAGCTGCGCATCCCCACCCGCTCCTGCGGGGACCGAGCGCTTCCGCTCCCAGAAACCACACACACTTCCACCTCCCTTCTTCCTTCCCTCCCTTCCTTTCTTCTTTTCTTTCCAGAATTTAAAGCCTATCTCCCCAGCCAGCGGCTGCACCTGCTGCCCAGGTTTGTGCAGGGCCGCTGTTCCAGTGTCCGCCTGCGTTTGGGACAGGTGTGGAGCAGACAAGCAGGATGCTGGCGGAGATGCACCAGACCCCGTGTCCAGCCCAAGCTTAAGAGCAAATCCCCAGTCATGCTGATTTGATTGGGGAGAGGTGGGCTCATGCAGTGGTGATGGCATAGGTTAAACATTAGAAAATTGTAACCACTTCCCTTGGAGAAGATTTATTCTTGTTGATGTGAAGTTCAGAACAGTGTTAGTTATGACCAAACCGGACAAAATAGAACCTTGTCAGATTCTCTAGTACCTCTAAAATCCTGCAGGGTACCAGTCCTAGCCGTCGCTACTGTGGCACATGCGGCAGCCTCCGAGGCCATCAGGTGTCCTGGAATGCAACCTCTACTAAAAAGGACAAATGGAGCCACTCTCCCCACACCCACCCTGACTCCAGAGTTATTGTTTTGCTGTCACCAGTCATTCTGCCCCAGAGTACGGGCATCCCATTATTCCTTGAGGGGATGGCCTCCAGGTGTCTGTGATGCGCAAGTGGAGTAGTCCTCACCTGATAGAACTATGAACTGGATCTCCCCAGAGACACACAGTCTCACCTCTTTTTGGCTCCTGGGGCTATCACCGAGCAGTTCTAGGCAATGGACACTGAGCTCCACCCAATTCTAATTACCTCTCTTGAGCTGCCCATAAAACCTAGGACACCTCCTCAGTCCTCATACTCTAGTAGTGACATCTGCATGAGGTTGGGTTTTCCTGTCTTTCAAAAGAAACCTATTTATGCCAAAAGTTTCTTCTAGAACTGCTCTGATCAACAAATATTATGTATTTGGGACAGGCTGTCATATTCCTGGCTCATTTTAATACACTTAATGTTAATTCACTTAATGAACTTGAAACTATACTGGACATAAGAGGTGGTGGGGAGAAATGGTACTAAAATTGAATCATTCTCTGATCTCAAGGAAGTTACACTTGATCCATTGGAGGGAGAAAATTGATGAATAAACAATAAGTGATCCAAGACAGAAAAGAATGAACACTAAATGTTATAGGCTCTAAGTGCTTTAAGAGTTAGAAGGAAAGATGGGAGATATGGCAAGACTTTTATTCCTTAGAATTAGTTATTAAGATTTTCTCCTTCCCCTTTGCACCCCATGAAAGATGGGAGAGAGGTAGAAAGAGGGGCTGATTCAGGGCCTGGTGTCTAACACTGTTGGTGCCTTGAAAGGCCCCATGCTGCAGAGTCCTAGGTAAAGGGACATCCACCAGCCACCTCATAGGTAGGAATGTGAGGATACCCAGGATGTGGAGTTTGAAGGCTAGATACAGAGAAGGAAGAGGGTCTAGGTGACAATGAGAAGAGGAAGGTCTCCTTCTGGCCTCACATCTGGCTCAGCAGGTCCCTCTGCCCACTGTCTTCTTCCTCTCCTAGATTCCTCTCCCACACAAATGGGCAGTCTCCACACACCTGTGTCCACTTGTCGGGCCTGGCTATGGTTAGGCAGTGTTTCTCCCCCAACAAGCTGCCTGGAGTTGGAGTCAGAACGAAAAAAACAAAAACAAAGCAGCCCAGCACATTTCTGCACTGTTTCCTCATTGCCTCATATAGAAGACATCCTGGGACTAGGGTAGGAACATCCTGCAGAGAGGACAACCTGCTTTCAGACATAGCACATGTACTGTGGTGATGGCCCTGCCTGGGGCTCTTAACCAGAGCAGCAGGTGCTGCTCTCAGAGCAGGTAAAGGCCCACAGGGGGCACACCAGAGCACAGGGGCAAGTACGAACCTGTTTTCTACTTATGTCAATACAACTCCCCAATATGTTAGCTTACCACAGAGTCCATTCTCTGTGACTCATTTTGGGTAATAAGATTGTTTTTTAGAAAACTACAATTTCTTTTTTAATAGGTGATTGAAAAAAAATTGACTGCATTATGAATTTTTTTAATTTATTTTATTTTAATGATTTTTGTTTTTTAATCTTATATTTTTCCTCACTTGAATGACCTTCGTTAGAGACATATGTAACATATATGACATATAACTTGCATGACATGCAGGATATTATTCACACAAATATGCTCAGTTAACTTTGCAGGAATTTTTCTCTTCTGGTGAGCGAGGTGACATTCTCATAGTCATCAGCTCTCACATTCTTCAGTCAGGGAGTCCAAAGCAGACACTCAAATATTTATCCCTGAAATATGTATTGGAAGCATGTGTAGATGTGTAGCACCTTACCAGGTCTTTCTTCTGAAGGAGCTCTCAACCCAGTTAAGAATCTCAGCTACGTCACCCAGTTAGAATCTTATATATAAAAAGCATAATATGCAAATTGACCGAACGGTGGAACAACCAGTCGGCAGGGGGTGGGGCTGGCGAGCAGGTGGCACCAGGCCAGCCAAGGCACGTGCCAGTGGGAAGAGGGAGGGGACGGTGATGGGGGTGGTGGGGCAGGGCTGGCTGCTTGCTGCTGGCGCCATCCCCTGATCAGCTCGCCGGTTGCCTCTTGCAGAGGGAGGCCACTGTGGCTTAGGCCCGCTCATTCAGACATCCCCTGAGGGTTCCCAGACTGTGAGAGGCACAGGCTGGGCTGAGGGACCACCCCAGAGTGCAAGAATTTTTATGCACCGGGCCTCCAGTATTAACATAAGACGTGTCAAAGGCCGAACATGGTCCAGCACTGGGTGGGGGCAGACACCAGGGTTCCAGAGGTGCCAAGGGAAGTGGGAGCTTTGGGCAATGGAGTGATGAGTGTTTCTTGAGGTGGGTTAAGTGCAGGTGGAGTTTGAAGGCTAGGTAACCTGTAAGAAGTAGAGAGGAGGAGGAAGAAGAAGGTACTGGCTCCTACAAAGACACAGCTAATAGGAATGACAATGGTAGTGTTTCAGGGAGAACAAGGGACCTGATAACCAGAGAGGACAGGCTCTCTCAGGGATGGGCAGGAGGTCCAGCTGTCAGGGTGGAACTGTGCAGACAATGGGCCTTACCCTAGGTCTTGGGAGCCCTTGAGAATGACAGTAGCATAATAGAAACAACATTTTGGGGAAGATGAGAGTTTCTCTAGCAAAAGGCAAGAGCTCTTCTGACTCTGTGAAGTTGTGGGATTGCAGCCATTCCAACATGAGACTTGAACCAAATTATTGTATTTAGGGTTCCTGTCACTGAGCAGCTTGTCAATGAGGCGGCTTGATGCTTTTGTCATTTATACTTTAGCTGCCCTGAGCATGTCTAGTCTGTAAGCAACTGTTAGTTCAGATATCATTGATTTGTTGTGTCAAGTGCATTTGAAAGGAAACCAGGGGAAGGGAAATGATTGTCACCTACTAGTAAGTTAAATAGTCACAGTCTAAGTGGGAGAAGTTTATAGGATTCTCCACTCTCCATACCCCAATCCTATATAATAAAAGGCTAATATGCAAATTGACCGAATGGTGGAACAAGCGGTCACATGACACTCACTGACCACCAGGGGGCAGACGCTCAACACAGGAGCTGCCCCCTGGTGGTCAGCGTGCTCCCACAGAAGGAGCGCAGCTCAGTCAGAAGCCCTGAGCTGGGCTCATGGCAAGTGCAGTGGTGGTGGCAGAAGCCTCTCCCACCTCCACAGGATGTCCGACAGGGAGCAGGCCTAAGCTTTCATTCAGACAACCCCTGATGGCTCCCGGCCTGCAAGAGGGTCCAGCCCAGGCTGAGGGCCTCCTCCCCCCCCCCCCCCCCAGTCCCTGAGTGCATGAATCTCATGCACTGGGCCTCTAGTAAATATATATTTATCCTGTGTTTCCAGGGTGAACTGAGCCTTTCTAAGAGCTATGTGGGGAAAAGGAGCTATGGAATGGAAGAATATTCCTAAGAGACAAGGTCCGTCTCTTCCATAAAGGTCAACTTCAATCTCATAATCTTATTGTGGCTGCCAGGAATAAAGCCACCCATTACTTTGAAGCACAAGATGCCTCCTGCATGATTACAGCCTGGGAATCAGGGTCTCAGTGGGGCTGGTTGTTGTCTCAGTTGTAGTGGCTCAATTGCACCAGCTTCCAACTACTACTCCATTTGAGCAGTATTCAGGCAAGAGTCTTCTCACACTCTGGACTGATCTTTCCCTTCACCTCATTTCTCTTTCCTCCCTCTAAGGGCTGCCAGGTGAAATACAGGGCTCCCATTAGAGTTGCATTTCAGCTAAACAATTAATAATTTTTTAGTATGTCTCAAATATTGCATGGGACATACTTATACTAAAAAAAGTATTATTTAGCTGAAATGCAAATTTAACTGGATATTTTTGTTTGCTAACTCTGGAAATACCACTTCTTCTAGATGCCTTGGGGGTCAGTCCAGCAGGTACATTGGGGACACTGGGGACATTGACCTAAGCTCTCCTGATCTTCTCATTGCTAAGTCAAACATGGAAATAAAAACACATTCAGACTTTCTCTTTTTGCTGTGCCAGTCTCTCCCAAAA